TATTGTACTGCTAGTATAATGTAGTATTGTATTGTATAATGTACTGCTACTGCTACAGTGTATTGTACTGCTACAGTATATTGTACTGCTACAGTGTATTGTACTACTACAGTATATTGTAATACTACAGTATAATGTACTGCTATAGTATATTGTAATACTACAGTATAATGTACTGCTATAGTATATTGTACTGCTACAGTGTATTGTACTGCTACAGTATATTGTACTGCTACAGTGTATTGTACTACTACAGTATATTGTACTGCTACTTGCAAAGGACATATGAGAACAAACTACTAGTATGGTTTCAACTCTTGAGTTCCTATTCCATGTCAAGACATAATTTCCTTAAACAGACTTTCCAAAATAATCTTTACATATTTCATTCCCATTTTATCTTAATGAATTCTATCAGAAATTGATTTGCAATAACACAGACCATATTCTACAATCTGAGAGCAAAACCAATCTGACATTAGTTTTGAGGCTGACATTCCATTTCAGCCTTGACCAGATTATCTCCCAACACACATCTCACCAGACCTGTTGCGTGTTACAGGGTACCTTGTTACAGGAGATACCATCGACCACTTTGAACTTGATCAACTCCTGCAACAGTTTCTACTGTGTTTCAATGTCTTAGCCTTCATGATAGCTCCTGGACATGAAGTCACTTCGATGAAACCTACAGATTTACAAACAAAAGACAGTTTTTGTTTACATGTTCTTCCCTGACGTGATAATGATGTATATGTTCTCTTGTTCTGACACTCTGATAGGCCACGATTCCTATCTTGGGAATAAAATAGTTGAAAATAAACGAGACAGTCATTACCGTGTTGAAGTGGTTATTTGCGGTACAAAAGCTTGTCAATGAATGCAGGGGACAGGATGAGCCCTATGATAAACAGGCTAGGCTCCACTGACTGCTCTAACGATCTGGTGTGTTTACGGAAAATGGTGAATGGCATGTCCCATGTTGATGATATCCAGCAAGTATAGCAAATACCAACGTTGATGATAGGGATCCTATAGAGCTGATTAAACACTGATATCAAATTGAATGTGTTAAGTGTAGCGTTACATGTTTCAAGGGATATGCTTAAAATGGCTAAATATTTTCTTTTCTTACGAGATTCTATATCTAATGCTACCAGAATACTGACATATTTTACAAATATTTCCTGTCCATGCTTTTTTAATGAAAAGTTTATGCTTTTTTGAAATCTTTCTAATAAATCTTGAAATATTGCCTGATCAAGTGATGATCAATTATTAATAATAACATTATTAATTAGCCTAAACTTAGAGGGTTTTGAGTGTCCATTAGCAAAAAAAATTTAAAATGCTTTTCATTAATTTCAATCCAGTTAAATTGAATTAAAAAGATCAATCTCAATTCAAATCTGAACATACATATAATTTATCATTCACAATATTTAATAAACTCAATTTAACATGCAAATTTAGACTGAATTCTCTTCTAATCAATTTAACTGAAAACTAAACCCTGATTGAAAATGATCCCAATCAAACTCTCATTAATCATAAGCATAATTTGACACATTGTCAGCTGTGAGATAGACATCTGTAATCTGAAATTAACGACTTGGAATATCTCCACCCAGCCCCTCAATAGGGACATTGACTGCTGTAGATTCAAGAGCCTATCAGTTTATACTAAAGTCATAATCTTTCCATGTCAAAGTAGTGTATATATAGTCTTAAACCATTTAATCTGGTAATCTTATCCCCTGTATAAACACACACAGTTATATAGTACAGTTCTGTACAAAGTAGGAACTAGCCTCCAGGCATACACCCTGTCCAAACACACAAACTAATGCATGCCGAATATTGCACACACACAGTCTTCAACACGAGATATATAGATTGAGGAATAAGATAGTAGATGTTGTTTTAGGCCACACTATAGTATATCATGGTTGGTGATATACTCCAGGCATGCCATACTAGCTTTATGCACCTGGTGATGAAAGCTAATTATATACATGGTAACAACTTGTTTGCATGATATTAACAGCTGCTTGTGTCAAGCATTCTATATTAAATATTTTATATAATTCATAACTTTCATGCAACAATGGTTGAATGTTGTTTTACACAGAACATAATGTAGTACAATGTTGCATGGGGTGTACAGTGTTACATGGGTGTACAGTGTTATATGGGCTGTACAGTGTTACATGGGATGTACAGTGTTATATGGGCTGTACAGTGTTATATGGGCTGTACAGTGTTACATGGGATGTACAGTGTTGCATGGGATGTACAATGTTGCAAGGGGTGTACAGTGTTGCATGGGATGTACAGTGTTACATGGGGTGTACAGTGTTACAAGGGATGTACAATGTTGAAGGGATGTACAGTGTTACATGGGTGTACAGTGTTACAAGGGATGTACAATGTTGCAAGGGGTGTACCGTGTTGCATGGGGTGTACAGTGTTACATGGGGTGTACAGTGTTACAAGGGATGTACAATGTTGCAAGGGGTGTACCGTGTTGCATGGGGTGTACAGTGTTACATGGGGTGTACAGTGTTACAAGGGATGTACAATGTTGAAGGGATGTACAGTGTTACATGGGTGTACAGTGTTACAAGGGATGTACAATGTTGTAAGGGGTGTACAGTGTTACATGAGTGTACAGTGTTACATGGGGTGTACAGTGTTACATGGGTGTACAGTGTCACATGGGGTGTACAGTGTTACATGGGGTGTACAGTGTCACATGGGGTGTACAGTGTTACATGGGATGAACAATGTTGCAAGGGGTGTACAGTGTTGCATAAGGTGCAGTGTTGCATGGGGTGTACAGTGTTGCATGGAGTGTACAGTGTTACATGGGGTGTACAGTGTCACATGGGTGTACAGTGTTACATGGGGTATACAGTGTTACATGGGCTGTACAGTGTCACATGAGATGTACAATGTCACATAGGGTGTACAATGTTACATGGGGTGTACAGTGTTGCAAGGGGTGTACAGTGTTGCATGGAGTGTACAGTGTTACATGGGGTGTACAGGGTCACATGAGATGTACAATGTCACATAGGGTGTACAGTGTTGCATGGGCTGTACAGTGTAACATGGGCTGTACAGTGTCACATGGGGTGTACACGCTGTACAGTGTAACATGGGCTGTAAACGCTGTACAGTGTAACATGGGGTGTACAGTGTAACATGGGGTGTACAGTTTACATGGCTGTACAGTGTTACATGGGCTGTACAGTTTACATGGGCTGTACAGTGTTACTGGGCTGTACAGTTTACATGGGCTGTACAGTGTTACATGGGGTGTACAGTGTTGCATGGGCTGTACAGTGTTACATGGGCTGTACAGTTTACATGGGCTGTACAGTGTTACATGGGCTGTACAGTGTTACATGGGTTGTACAGTGTTATATGGGCTGTACAGTTTACATGGGCTGTACAGTGTTGCAAGGGGTGGACAGTGTTGCATGGGGTGCACAGTGTTGCAAGGGGTTACAGTGTTACATGGGGTGTACAGTGTTGCAAGGGGTGTACAGTGTCACATGGGTGTACAGTGTCGCATGGGGTGTACAGTGTCACATGGGCTGTACAGTGTTACATGGGCTGTACAGTGTTGCATGGGGTGTACAGTGTTACATGGGGTGTAGTGTTACATGGGGTGTACAGTCTTACATGGGGTGTACAGTGTTACATGGGGTGTACAGTGTTACATGGGGTGTACAGTGTTATATGGGCTGTACAGTGTTACATGGGGTGTACAGTGTTACATGGGCTGTACAGTGTTACATGGGCTGTACACGCTGTACAGTGTTGCATGGGGTGTACAGTGTTACATGGGGTGTAGTGTTACATGGGGTGTACATGCTGTACAGTGTTATATTGGGTGTACAGTGTTACATGGGGTGTACATGCTGTACAGTGTTATATTGGGTGTACAGTGTTACATGGGGTGTACATGCTGTACAGTTCACATGGGCTGTACAGTGTTACATGGGGTGTACATGGGGTGTACAGTGTTACATGGGCTGTACAGTGTTACATGGGCTGGGCTGTACAATGTTACATGGGGTGTACAATGTTACATGGGCTGGGGTGTACAGTGTTACATGGGGTGTACAGTGTTACATGGGGTGTACAGTGTTACATGGGGTGTACAGTTTACATGGGCTGTACAGTGTTACATGGGGTGTACAGTGTTACATGGGGTGTACAGTGTTACATGGGGTGTACAGTGTTACATGGGCTGGTGTACAGTGTTACATGGGGTGTACAGTGTTACATGGGCTGTACAGTGTTACATGGGCTGTACAGTGTTACATAGGGTGTACAGTGTTACAACTGCTGTAGAATGAAGCACATAAACAAAAGCGTGGTTTATACTATATGATGAAGACAAGCACTTGTCAACATGTGTAAACTGTCTGGTCTGTTGTAGTTAGGCTGGTCACTACACTGAGTCTCTAACTGAAACCAACAGAGAAGGAGTAGCTCCTGATAGCCAGTGACAGATACAAACTCCATCCAAGATGTCTTCATTTGTACCAGTGCCTCCCTGTCTGAGACAAACAGACAGGCTCCAACTTTCAACAATATCATAATTTATCCTGACTATTCATGTACTGCTGTCCACACGACTAACTATGTAGCTATACCTTGAGAAGCAGAACAGTTGGGGTGAGGAACTCCACGTCATAGTTTCATACAGGATGATAGTGTGTGGAGAGTGTGACTGACGCTGGAGAGCTGGTGTTAATTCCACTTGGCTAACAGAATCATTTTTTTGTCAACACTGCGTACCTCACCGATACATCCTGGGGTGAGACAGGGACAAACCACAAGCACTTGCTGAGGGTTTGGAGAACCTCAGATCTATCATGGACTTGTTGTTTGTCATAACTAAGTAGTATGAATGTATGAACCAAGCAGTCAGTTATACGTACTTGACAATGTACATATGGAGACTGACAATGAAGTCAACTCACATTGTCTCCAAGTGGACTCATGTTATCTCCAAGTGTAATCTCAATACTGTACAGACCAATCTAGAACAGGAGATGCTGGGAAGTATTTACCTTGCCTTGCATTCTGTTTGCAGATCATCTTGAAGATAATGCCTGAAAAATAAAACTACCTTTATGTCAGGTGTCTTCAGTAGGAAATGTTTTAACTCTTCTCAAACCACTGTTATTTTTTCTTTGGACTTTTTGGCCAAAGCAAACTGTAAAAGGTAAAACTTCTGTGGTTATCTTGGGAAGAAACTTAAAATTCTTGGCCAAAATTGATCATGGCAAAGAAGAAAAAGAAGAAGAAATGATTTTTTGACAGTGATGTACTTGATAAAACTTAAACTTGTTTGTTTCAGCCTGGGATAAAATTTGTAATTTGGGGGTCAAATGTTCCATAACAGGATGAAATGCAACCCCATACCATTCAATCCCAATTTTTCTAAATAATTTTTCACATATTTCTCCCATCTGCATTTGCTAGTAATCATTTGGATTTGAAAAATGAAAATATACGATCAAAAGATATTAAAAAAAAACACTTTCTGCTTGTGCTTACTTATATATGTTCATTACAAGATCACACCTGTCCGGATATGAAATGTAGCCCTCTATAACTGCACATCAAGGTGATATATTCAGATTATCAGCTAGAAAATTGCTGGAAATAAAACTATAAATTTATTGATGTGATTTTTTCTCCTTGACATATCTTAAAGAGAAGATCCAGTTTGTTTGTGTTTGCCTGGAACAATGTCTTAAAGTTAATGACATCTGATAAACTTGTCTATTTCCACCACAACTTGAAGACATTGTGGGCATTGTGTACTCATAAAAAAACATTGAATGAAATCTACATTAAGATTCAAAACAAGGGTCTGGAATTCTACACCTGTATAAACACTCACATGACAACAACAAACCCATTATCAAATTACATGATAATGTTCCTAAGCTTCAAACATTTTCACAACTGTTGCATGGACAGAGAGTCACCATAAGTAGCAGCCCCCACCGAGCTAAATAGTTAACACCTTGTCAGGTAACCCAGTGGAAAGACCACCCCAAGAAGTCATGATAACGTGTTAATTAGACACCCAGTCTATCTCAGAGAGGGTCTGAAGGAGATAAAGAGTTAACAAGGTGCTGGGTAAGAAAAACAAAAAAGACATGTACATACATGTACCCTAGGGAAATACAGGAGCTTATCAACAACTGGGTTATGGAATATAAACCCAATTACCTGCAATTAGACACTAAGTGTTACACTTTGACAACATAGTACCACCATGTTGTTACAGCTTCTTACAGGGAGATATAGGTACAGACATGTACTAAATGATAAGGATAAAGTGTGTAACCTTGCATTAATCCTCTGTGGGACAAACACCTATATTCTGGTATTGCATCTTCAGCTGAAAGAGGCCACTTACACTTCCATGTTATCTTGTCAACATTGCAACATATTGAGAATATATTTATATCAGCTGAATGGGATATGGTCCCCTGATTGAGAACACCTACAAGAATCAAACAACTTGATCATCTTGAAGCCATCAGTGTTTATAAAAAATGTTTTATGTACATCAAGATATTGAATTTAGTCACCAATAACAATACTCTCTTTGACAGCATGCAGCATGAAACGTCAGTGATATTAGTTGATCTTGAAGTTGATCAATTTAGTTGATCTTGAAGAAATATCAAACACTGTGTGATCTTGTACTGATGTATGTGTGTGACATTGTACTTTTTTCTTAATTTCAATGTTTTTATTGCCCGAAAGTCCCTGTTACATGATTGAGGATTACCTCCAGGGTAAGGGTGACTCTCATTTGTAAGGTATGAATTCTTACTAGTAGACAATCTGACATTTTCTAAGGAAAAAATAAGATCATTCACATTCATACTCATACTGTTGCGAGTTAAAAATAAACAACTAGCTTTTACTCTGTGCCTGCTTTTGACTTATACTTAGGCTAGACTAACTGAAAAGTGGATGATATCCACCTTGTGTAAAATCTATTGAGTTTATTTCTGCTTGAGAAACTAATTTTCTCAATAGAATACCTCTGTATCAATGTGTGGTTTTACCCCCTGACACTGAGACATTGGACTTTGTATGGTCTCTTCTTACACTAAATGGGGTGGTGGGTAGCTGAGTGGTTAAAGCGTTCATTCGTCACACAGAAGACCTGGGTTTGAATCCCCCATGGGTACAATGTGTGAAGTCCATTTCTGGTGTCCCCTGACATGGTATTGTTGGAATATTGCTAAAAATGGCGTACAACTAAAGTAACTCACTCTTACACTTAATTTCATCAGTCTCCTACACGTTGGTCAATACCTAACAGCCATGATGTTGAGTTGGAGCAGACACAATGATGAACACTTTATCAGGTACACCAGGATCTGTCAGCTTTATACTGGAGTGGAGCAGACACAATGATGAACACATTGTCAGGTCCACCAGGATCTGTCAGCTTTATACTGGAGTGAAAGTCAGGTAACACAGGTTGTGAACCTTTACCACATTGGTGAGTTCCATAAGCACAGGTACGAGACTGACAGACCAGGGATTGTAATCAGGACAAATCTGGGATTCAAGCTAACAAGGCCAGAGTGAACCATTCCAGGTGTATGAACCCGTGAAGAACTGGCTTAGAACTGGTCTTCAGCAACCCATGCTTGTCATAAGAGGTGACTAACAGGATCACTGACTTGGTTGACACAAGTCATCGTATCTCAATTATGTAGATCGATGCTCATGCTTTTGATCACTGGATTGTCAGGTCCAGACTTGATTATTTACAGACCGCCACCATATAGCTGGAATATTGCTGGGTGTGGCGTAAAACCAACCAACCAATCCAGGTGTATGCTTTCTCCATTTGGCCAACCCACCTGGCCTGGTAACACACAGTAATATTCTACCAAGAATGTTTTGGAGCTTACTTTACTTTCGATATAAAAACTGAGAACTGTGGTAAAACATTCCAACAAACAAATCTTTCAGATAAATCTGAAACTGTCATAAATAATACATTTGTGCTTGCTGACGCTGTACCTGAACAAAGGAACAAGGTAAATGTTGACAGAACAAATCTCCTCGGTCAGACACTGCCCACTCAGTCTCAATCCAGCACAACAAAAAACATACAATAACACAATGAATGGGGTTATATTCACTACTTCAAAGACAGAAAACTCATTGTCTCCTGAAATAATAGTAACTTTTAAAGGTTGTAAAGATTACATTAGTTTATTGTAAACCGAATCACTAAATATATCTTTTAAAGTGAACAAGCCAAATGCTCTGCAAATACCTATATTACCCTATTTGTCTTTTTTATTGAAATTCAAATGAGACTCTCATCCAGAATTTCTAAGTTATTTTCAATAAGACAGTTAGTCATTGTCTGTAAATTTCTCCAATATCTGTTCTGTCACTCCAACTGTCTGTTGAGTGTCTGGCTGGCCTGTGGGGTAACAAACAATCAACTGCTCCAAGATCATAAACTTGTGAAGAACGACAGTGTTCACATTACCTTGTGTTGTTAAGGGTATTACTCACATTAATTCGGGATGCCTTCCGCGACAGCCTCTACCTGTCAGTGATAACAGGTATACAACAGGTATCACTGATTACAAAATCACTTATGTTTACACCTGCATCTGACTTTCCTCATTTTGAAGAGACAAAGAAATGAATTTATATTTTACATCAAAGGTTTTAAGAGCATTGATAATACTAAAGAGCTTATACTTGTCACTTTGTGTGCACACATTTTATTTTATATGTGGATGATACATTTGGATTTTTTTATTGGACTGATCCAAAACATCCTGTTTTGAAAAAATGGAGATTTAATGCAATTTTTGTTGTTGCAGAGATAAATAACCACACAGGTAGGATAGGTGTGTGAATAATGACAGCAGTACACTTCTGGCCATAGGAGAAGGAAAGGGTTACTGTTTTGTCTTCTTCATGCTACATGAAGCTGACAGTACGTGAAGTCTGCCTTAATCTCCACTCACTCACCCTGTATTCTGATTTGAGAGAATTTATGTAAAAAGAGGGATATCCATTCAGCAATGGACACCTACAGAAGAGGATTATTCCTCCACCACAAGGGATATAAGACTCTGTACCTCTTGTTGGGTGGAACGACAGGTATTTCGGGGGAAGAAAAAAAAGAAAAGGAAAAAAAGAAATGATTTTTTCATACTTTATTACGTGTGTATCTCATACTACATAATAATAAGCAAAATTTGGTAACAGATGATGGACAATTTAGCACATTTAAATGAAGCACATTATCAAATAACAGAAAGGGTTCAGGATTAGGGCCAGTGGTAGAATAGAATTCATCAGGAATGGTCAGGTCACTGAGTTGTGTGGGTGCAGGTGGACAGCGGTGATGGCATCAGATGCTGCGCTTTGTGTGCTCCATGGCTGGCAATACTTTGGTGAGTTTATTTTGCCAATTATACTCACAACTTCATAAAAATATGTTAAATACACCAATTTCCCCCATTTATTATTTTTTTTCCCGCTTTCTTTTCTTTTTTCCTATATTCTGGCTGCCCATCATAAACTGTGTCAAGATTGTATGGTTCTACGGTACTTCTAAATGCTAAACTGTCAGTTTGATGCATCACTCCATGTTAGCTGACACTGTATGTGATGCTATTGTACCTGGTGGTAGTACAAGTAGATATTGTTGATCAGTATTATCTCAGATTGTGAATCATGTTTGGGACAACTTGTGTTTAACCAGGTACCTCAACACCTTGATAATGATTAAAGTAAACGCATGAAAAACACATGTTTTAATCTCCTGTAACTGTACCCCAATGAGATAAGGGAGTGAATCACGTTTCACGCATAAATCCAACTGTGAAGACATTTCTTGAGGAATTCTAACTTTTCCATTCTCAGCTAATATACAGAAATAATCATAAGGGAGATAATTAATGGATGTAAAGTTCTTTATATACGTTTCTATAATCGAGGAGTCCCTGAATTCTCTCTCATGTGTGTAACTTCTAAATTTAATGACAAGTTGAATTAACAGCTGGTACAGCACTTCCCATATAATAGAAATCTATTCGTCCATCAGGATAGCAGGTTGAGTGTGGTATTTGTGAAGCACTGTTTCGGAATCACAGGGAATAAGTCCCTGTCAGCCATTCCGACCTGGTCATCCGTCTCTGGTTATAGAATTACTTTCAACACGAAGTATACGACATCATTATATATGTCCCGTCCATCAGAATCACACGTACAAGTTGTAAGTTAATGTATTCAGCAAATCATCTGAATAAACACGACAGAGTAAACATGGTAATTCCCAAACCTTCCCTTCAACAACCTGATCTGCTGAGCACAGGAATCCGTACTTTGACGACTTGATAATAACAAACAATTTCATAGTTCAGTTAGTAAGCTCTGAATATCTAACACAGATCAAAGGGACACTCGCCTTTTAATTAACACCTCTTGTTTGCTTTTCGACACTAACGAGCCACCTTCAAGTACACAAACAGGGTACGAGTGTTTATTCAAAGATGTGCATTGCATTTAATCATGCTGGCCTGGACTGGAGAGTTGGTCTACAGTGGAGATCAGCATGAGAGCAGTCATCTTTGACTGATGACAACGTGCTGTGCCAGCTAGTTGGAGTCAACAACACATGGAATAATCCATGCTGCACTGACACAGGGCTCAACTGGTGTCATGTCTCCTGGACCAAATAATTCAGGAGTGAGTGAGTGAGTTACTCCCAAATTTTCAGGAATTCACAAAGCCACGTTAAACTGTAATATTTCCAACAATGATTCTGTCACACCTGAGAGATGTCACTCTTCTGCACACTGAGGGGCGGTGGGGTAGCCTAGTGGTTAAAGCGTTTGCTCGTCATGCCGAAGACCAGGGTTCGATTCCCCACATGGGTACAATGTGTGAAGCCCATTTCTGGTGTTCCCCGCCGTGATATTGCTGAAATATTGCTAAAAGCGGCTTAAAACTAAACTCACTCAGTCACTTCTGCACATTGAACTGTTAGCCTCAGACAACTAATCCACCTGTGCCCAGCCTGCAGTGCCAACTGGCTTGTGATGTGGTCTTGTCAAATTACTTTGGTACTCCACAGAATTCCTACCAGGATACATTACAGCGCCATGATCTGAAGGGCAACAGAAAGTACCGGCATACTAAATTTGTTTTTTATGTAATAGAACTGTTGTTAAATTTGATCATGTCTGTTTAATCATATTCCTGAAACATTTTGTTAAAAATAGTTTTTGGTTGGGTAATTTTGTGTAAAATAGATCAGTTCAGTGAAAAGTGGCTGGAAGTTCGGGTAAGAACTGAATCAGAAATCACATACCAATGACCATGTTTGAAATGCAAATCTGTGAAAAAAAAGACTTTACTGATTTTCAAGGGTAATAGTCTGCAATACCCATCAGCTAGTGTGCATTATGCTAAAAAGTGAATTATAAAAGCTATATTATATCAAATAAATAATCCAAGCAGAAGTAATGTTTAAGTGTTGACTAAGTGCCAGGAGAGTAGACCTTTGATATAACATAGCTAACAGCAGATATTTCCAGATGAAAATCCGACACATGATAACATCAGCTGAGAGGTATGACTTCCATTGGTCCTCTGTGTACTGCACAGATAATGCTGTTGAGACAACAAAGAATACTGTGTAAACCGGAAAACAGTAATACTTCACTGGGAGTGGAGTGACTATCTTATCTTCAGTGTCTATCACATCATGATTACTGAGTTAGCCATTACCATGTATACTGCTTGCTGGTCATCAAAGTCAGACATAACCATTGGTACACCTTCAAACTTCAGGTTGTAGAAACTTGACAAATGCTTTGTCCCTGTGTATATATAACTTAGAGAGAAACAATGGATTCCTTTTTAATTGAAAATTAGACCCAGTGAGGTTGGAGATTCAGCCTGATCCTGAGGAAATCTAGACTTGCTTCATTTAGGGCTTTAGCACTGGAGGGAGGGCTGGGCAGTAGGGAAAATAATGTGGTTCAGGGACTGTGAGACATATGAGTGAGTGAGTGAGTGAGTGAGTGAGTGAGTGAGTGAGTGAGGTGAGTGAGGTGAGTGAGTGAGTGAGGTGAGTGAGTGAGTGAGTGAGTGTGTGTGTGAGTGAGTGAGTGAGCATCACTAAGTGACAGTTTGATGTTGGAGGAACGACTGAAGTGATGCAGTTTGCGACTGACCACATCACCGAAACCAACGAGCATGAATCTGGTACAACCAAACCAAGAAACAAAATCCCAATTACAATACAATGGTATACTTTTACCCATTTCTGTCTGTTTGAGTATAGGATAGCACAATCTTTGTTCTCCTATAACAGTGAACATTTCAGATAGATACTCTCTTCAGGGAAGAAAACTCCTCCAACTAAAACCTCAACACCTCTGAATCCTGTTCAGCTACCTGCTTAAAGTCAGTCAGATATCTGCAATAGTATATTAGATCAGGTCAGAGTCTAACTCTTTACAAATACTTATAGAAAGTATAAACTGACTTTACACTGAAAATGATATTCATGGGAAAGATGAATTGTATTTGCTTTCTTACAGGTTTGTGTCTGGTGTGAGTAGCTGTGCGTGTTTGTCTGACAGCAGTAGCAGACTTAATCAGGTTTAAACTCAGCCTCTGTGTTTGTTTTCAGTGTTGTAGCAAACAAAAACACGGGGAACTGGAAGTAGAGGGATTGGCTATGCTGATATACAGAGAGGTGATTGATGCCTTCGCATTGATTTACTGTGTACAATGTTGAATAAAGAATTAACCACTCCAAGGCATACCCTTCACTTACAGCTTTCTTTTTTATATTTTTGAAAACTTTATTCAGAGATCCTTGTTCAAATGTTGTTTTACAGTTCTACATTTCAGGTATTACTTTACTTCCTGCTGCTGCTGGAACCCTGAGGTGGGAATAGGTCGGAAACATCGGGAAGGCTGCTGACTGAAGAGTTTGACCTAAGACAATTATTTTCTCCTATGAATTTTGTATGAAAAAAAGAAAGAATTAATATATTTTAACTGATTTATTTATGTAATAAACCGAACTATCAAAATCAAATGTACACTTGAACATTCACATTAAATTTACACATTAATATAAATATTACATTTTCATGTAAATATCAAGGATAAATGTTAATATCTAATTAATAACCATCATTTGCAAATAGTTGTCATGAAACTAATATTCAGAGTGAACAGTCTTTTTTTCATTCAAATTTCTAAAACTTTATTGGAAGTAATCTTCCAGTATGTCAGTTTCATGAAAAATACTACCTTCAAAAGTTTAACAAAAAGATAAAATTAATAATACACCTGCGCTAAAACCATTTGCCATAACTCATTACGTAATGATCACAAGACATTGACTCCGAGCAGGACATGGCCACGAACAGACCTGTGTTTCAGTGAATCATCACAGTTTTTGACACAGACTGGTACATATCGCACCTACATGTCAAAGGTCGCGTCGATGTCACCAGCACACGTCTACATCTAAATCAAGAAATTACAAAAAAAACATTTGTTTTGACAGCAAGAAACATAAAAGGTTGTGGAATGGAGAAAGGCCTTTTGTACGGTTCCTAGAGAAACAAGAGTACATCAGGAAAGTTTATCAAGTCCACTGTGAATTGAAGACATAAACATATTACATTTTATCCTTTCTCAACACAGGAAATTTACATGGAAGTATGCTCTTTCTGGGTGGCTACTTTTGTTTGAAGAACATTTTTTGTAAAAGATTGTGATTTCTCTCAGATAATTTGTACAAGCTCATTTAATCGGAGATCTCTTTCTAAAAAACATTGTAAAGATTCACTAGTAACAAAGTAATTGTTGGAAGGAATTTCTTTAACATTATTGCCCTTCTTTTCAAAGAACATTTCCACATACCATGAAATGTGATGACAAAGATTTTAATATATGCCTCTCTCTGACAGCGCCAGCTGAAATATGTATCATGTTTACAGACAGGGTTTTGTTGAAACGACTTTTATGCTGCATTAAATCACACAGTTGTGAGTGAAAACCTGATAAAAAAGGCTGCTTTACTCTGATAGGTCCAAGATTTAATTATAATGAAAATGTTTAATTGGCTCGTTAATTACCTTATTCAATTTGTACATTTCCAGTAATGATTCACATCATGACACACATGCTAGTGCAGGGAAGCAGATCATGTTGTCTACCACTTGTAATCGCTTCAACATATGTATTTACGCAGTGATTTTTAAACAGGTTTATGGATCCATCAACTTTCAAAGCCAACAATACAGAATTCTTCTAAGCCAACTTTCATTCTAAGCACAATATCCTTTGTCAAATACATGATCCGTTAAAAAAGTCTTCAGCATTACAACTATTAATCTAGTCAGCTTTTTTATATTGTTGGCTTTTGAAAATAATATTATTGCATTTGTGCACACAAAGTAAAATGTGATTAATTAGAAAATTATATTGTTCAACAGCACCTGACACAGACTAACGACATAAGTCATAAGCATTATAATTAGTCTTAAATAACAGTGTAAAAAGGCCTGTGTAATATATTCTACCATGACACTTACTCAACAAAAAGCATTTCGTGTCATATTGAACAAGACACATTGTACCACATACCTCACATAGACCCAGACACATTGTACCACATACCTCACATACAGCCAGACACATTGTACCACATACCTCACATACAGCCAGACACATTGTACCACATACCTCACATACAGCCAGACACATTGTACCACATACATCACATACAGCCAGACACATTGTACCACATACCTCACATACAGCCAGACACATTGTACCACATACATCACATAGACCCAGACACATTGTACCACATACCTCACATACAGCCAGACACATTGTACCACATACCTCACATACAGCCAGACACATTGTACCACATACCTCACATACAGCCAGACACATTGTACCACATACATCACATAGACCCAGACACATTGTACCACATACATCACATACAGCCAGACACATTGTACCACATACCTCACATACAGCCAGACACATTGTACCACATACATCACATACACCCAGACACATTGTACCACATACCTCACATACAGCCAGACACATTGTACCACATACCTCACATACAGCCAGACACATTGTACCACATACCTCACATACAGCCAGACACATTGTACCACATACATCACATAGACCCAGACACATTGTACCACATACCTCACATACAGCCAGACACATTGTACCACATACCTCACATATACAGCCAGACACATTGTACCATATACCTCACATACACCCATACATAGACACATTGTACCCATCAGTACCAAAATATATCTCTCATGGATACAGCCAGACACATTGTACCACATACCTCATATACAGCCAGACACATTGTACCACATAATAAAGATCACCGTACAGCCTTTTTTACACATTTGTATCAACACATACACATTTGGAAGTGGATAGACAGCATTGTAGAATACATACATCACATATTACCGTGTATTGTACAACATGCCTCACATATAGCCCAGACACATTGTACCACATACGGTGACTTTCATCACATACAGCCAGACACATTGTACCACATACCTCAAATATATTATTTAAGTTGTAGCAACAGACACATTGTACCACATACAACATCACATACAGCCAGACACATTGTACCACATACCATCATGATATACCCAGACACATTGTACCACATACATCACATAAAACCATTACACATTGCCAGACATATTTCTTTGTAAATAACATATTCAATCACATACATCCCGCATATTATTGACACATTGTACCACATACAGCTCACATACAGCCAGACACATTGTACCACATAGAGCACATACTGTAACCAAAATTACACAATGCTAGGATATATTTCTTTTACTAAATAACGGTATTCTGTATCATATTTTACCTTATAACTTAAATGGTAATTAATCTTGTCTAGTGATGTTTAATTGCAATTTGACGCACATACTGACAAAGACACATTGTACCACATACATCACATACACCCAGACACATTGTACCACATACCTCACATACAGCCAGACACATTGTACCACATACCCATCACATACAGCCAGACACATTGTACCACATACCTCACATACAGCCAGACACATTGTACCACATACATCACATACAGCCAGACACATTGTACCACATACCTCACATACAGCCAGACACATTGTACCACATACATCACATACAGCCAGACACATTGTACCACATACATCACATACAGCCAGACACATTGTACCACATACCTCACATATACCCAGACACATTGTACCACATACCTCACATAGACCCACACACATTGTACCACATACATCACATACAGCCAGACACATTGTACCACATACCTCACATACAGCCAGACACATTGTACCACATACCTCACATACAGCCAGACACACATTGTACCACATACATACAGCCAGACACATTGTACCACATACCTCACATACAGCCAGACACATTGTACCACATACCTCACATACAGCCAGACACATTGTACCACATACATCACATACAGCCAGACACATTGTACCACATACCTCACATACACCCAGACACATTGTACCACATACCTCACATACACCCAGACACATTGTACCACATACCTCACATACAGCCAGACACATTGTACCACATACATCACATACAGCCAGACACATTGTACCACATACATCACATACAGCCAGACACATTGTACCACATACATCACATACAGCCAGACACATTGTACCACATACATCACATACAGCCAGACACATTGTACCACATACCTCACATACAGCCAGACACATTGTACCACATACATCACATACAGCCAGACACATTGTACCACATACCTCACATACAGCCAGACACATTGTACCACATACCTCACATAGACCCAGACACATTGTACCACATACATCACATACAGCCAGACACATTGTACCACATACCTCACATACAGCCAGACACATTGTACCACATACATCACATACAGCCAGACACATTGTACCACATACCTCACATACAGCCAGACACATTGTACCACATACCTCACATACAGCCAGACACATTGTACCACATACCTCACATACAGCCAGACACATTGTACCACATACCTCACATACAGCCAGACACATTGTACCACATACCTCACATACAGCCAGACACATTGTACCACATATCCCACACAGACCCAGACACATTGTACAACATATCCCACACAGACCCAGACACATTGTACAACATATCCCACACAGACCCAGACACATTGTATAACATATCCCACAGACAGACACATTGTACAGACACATTGTATAACATATCCCACACAGACCCAGACACATTGTATAACATATCCCACACAGACCCAGACACATTGTATAACATATCCCACACAGACCCAGACACATTGTATAACATATCCCACACAGACCCAGACACATTGTATAACATATCCCACACAGACCCAGACACATTGTATAACATATCCCACACAGACCCAGACACATTGTACAACATATCCCACACAGACCCAGACACATTGTATAACATATCCCACACAGACCCAGACACATTGTATAACATATCCCACACAGACCCAGACACATTGTATAACATATCCCACACAGACCCAGACACATTGTATAACATATCCCACACAGACCCAGACACATTGTATAACATATCCCACACAGACCCAGACACATTGTATAACATATCCCACACAGACCCAGACACATTGTATAACATATCCCACACAGACCCAGACACATTGTATAATATATCCCACACAGACCCAGGCACATTGTATAACATATCCCACACAGACCCAGACACACTGAACAACATATCCCATACAGACCCAGACACATTGTATAACATATCTGACATATGTACTCTGAACAATGGTCATTCATAGGCCAATGGTATAGAGGAGATCTCTAAATAGGATGAGAGAAAAACAATCTTTAATCCGCTCAAAAAAGCTGAAATGGCAAGTCATATCCTTAATGCATTTAGTTTGGCAATGTGCCATCTACATTTAAACGGCAACACATGGGTCATGCACAAAGTTCATGTTTTACATGTATGTGAACTTTGCAAACCCTCCTCCTCACACATGTACCTTAGCGTATACACTACACACCACATGAAGCAGCTGGGGACGTTTGTTTTAACTCACTGTAACTTAGATTTCATTTCTTTCCTAGATGTGACTGTGATGTCACAATAATGTCATGACATGTAAGGTTTCGTCTTGTGATGTTACTGCATTCTATATGTTGCATTGTGATGTCACAATGATGTCACTCCATGCTATATTGTGTATTGTGATGTCAATGCATGCTATATTGTGTATTGTGATGTCACAGCATCCTATATTGTGTATTGTGATGTCACAGTGATGTCACTGCATGCTATATGGTGTATTGTGATGTCACAGTGATGCCACAGCATCCTATATTGTGTATTGTGATGTCACAGTAATGTCACTGCATCCTATATGGTGTATTGTGATGTCACTGCATGATATAGGGTGTATTGTGATGTCACAGTAATGTCACTGCATCCTATATGGTGTATTGTGATGTCACTGCATGATATAGGGTGTATTGTGATGTCACTGCATCCTATATGGTGTATTGTGATGTCACAGTGATGTCACTGCATGCTATATGCTATATTGTGATGTCACAGCATGCTATATGTTGTATTGTGATGCCCCTGCATCCTATATGGTGTATTTTGATGTCAGAGTGATGTCACTGCATGCTATATGGTGTATTGTGATGTCACAGTGATGTCACTGCATGCAATATGGTGTATTGTGATGTCACAGTGATGTCACTGCATGCTATATGTTGTATTGTGATGTCAGAGTGACATGTAGTAGTGATTTTGTCATTTTTACAACAAAATAATGTCCTATATGTGATCCCCCTATATTATGCTTACAAACCTAAAAACATTATCAGGATGAAAGTGAAAGACTGGAAATCCTAAAGGTTTTGGCACCTAAGACAGCTGGAGCACCTCAGGGCTAACTGCATGTAAGTGAGGGCTTGCTATGGTTACCCAACACAGACGGCTCACAACCATACCACATATTCAACTTTCATAAAAACATTATTTACGGTACAGATGAATATTTGAAGAGAGTACAACATACATAGTGGAGTTATTACATCTTTAAAATGTTTTCAGATGTCATAAACGTGACATGTATCACTAATTTATACAGACAATGGATGATAAAATCTGTCACTGAAATATTCAAGAAACTCTGGGGGTGAAATTTGCCATGTAGTGCAGCTAATTTATTTCTCTTCAATTTGAATGCAGCTTGATGATCGTAGACTACT